CATTTAATGGGAAATGTTTCAGCCCTTGCATTGATCTCTATTGTTCTCCATCTACTTCTATTACTACTTTAAGGCCTCGATCCTGATCTTCACCGTCCATAACACGTGAGGACCTAATCACATCAGTAACTACAACCTCTTCCCTAACTCACCAAGATAACAGTTCCTTTGGATTAATACTCTGTATGAGACCAGAATAAAACGTGAAAGCCAGAGATTAAAAATATATATATATTAACAAAACTCCTCTTGCTTAATCATTAATATTGTTAATGTTTAATTTATGATAATTGATCTCCATCTTATCTCAGTTATAACCATAAGAATCCACATTGCTTAGAGCATATACAAATACTCTTCTCATTACAAATTTGGGCTACAGATTCCCTTAACTCTGTACCCAAAGTGAGAATTTTCCTCCCTTTCTTGGACTGTAGTAAAATTTATCATCTTGCTACAAATGTGAACTTTTCAGCAAATAAATGCTTATTGTGAATTGCTACGTCTCAAAATTCACAGTATATTCATGCTGAAGAGGCTACAGAAAGTGGGACAGAGAATACTTCAAAAACAAGCACAAACAACGTTTTGGATTGTATGCGCTTCAGTTCTACCCACAGTGAAATCTTCACCAAAAAAAAAAAAAAAAAAAAAATAAGACTGTACATAAATGATATAATTTAATACCCTTGGCTGGAATACAGAATTTAGTTAATACAGGTCTTGTTTTGAGACAGTATACTTGTTTTAGAGATGGACTGGAGTTGGAACAGAGCTTTTCAAGCAAAGTTTTTTTTTAAATGGTCTGTTCAAATACATAACTTTAAAAAAGTTTAAAACAGAGACAGAAGCATTGTTTAGATCACCATTGTTATCAAAGGTACATTAGTATCTGCTGTGGTTTATAGGAAGATAGTTACAAATTTTTTTGAACTAAATCGTCCTTTTTTGTAGAACAGCAGAAAGGGAGGAAAGGCAACAGCTCTGCAGGACTAGTTTTGTACCATGTCTGTGTATTAATTCCTTTTATTAGAAGGGACACAAAAGGCGGAAAACGCATAGTGTCTCAGAAATGTGGTAAAGTTAGATCCCTTGTCTCATGCATGTGAAACTAATATTCAGTGAACTAGAGTTTGGTTGTCCAGATATTATCCATCATATATTGACATAACGAGGGGTTCCAGAATAGAGTGAAATATTTGCCAAATAAGAAGATAGTGTGCAAATAAAGAGTTTCCAGTTACAAAAGTACAGTGCCTTGTTTAAAAAAAAAATGAAAGAATGAAAATTGTGGGTACATGTACTGAAGGGTGCCCAGTGAAAGTTTGTGTTGTAATTACATATAATGATATCCACGCTTCCAAGATACTGATGAACAGTATTACTGACAGGCAGTCTGTGAGGAGTCATTCAAGGAAAGATTTCTTGACTCAGTTTGGCACAAATATATTTTTCTTACTTAAATGGAAGCCCATGTAAGCAGAACTTGGTCTCAGTAGGCCTTTGGCAGACGTTAATATAATTGTGCCTTTGGGACTGGAGAAATGCCAGAGTGCATGGCATGACATGTGACTTTTGGGATCAGGCATACAGTTCCTCTGATCCCAATCATGCTTGCAGCTGAGGACCACATTCCTGATTCACAGCTGCATGTGCAGGCACCCATTCAAACATCAGGTACTCAGGGCTGCCTCTAGGGACTGACCAGGGAGCAGCCAGGTCTGGGACACAGGATTGCCCTCTATCCCATCCGAACAATCAGCTAATTGTTGGGATAAGGGGTGGGGCAGCCTCGAGTCCAAGTCTGAGACAAGGATTGTCCTCTACCAAATTTAAGGGTTCAGGCACACCGTAGCTGTGTCCAGGACTCCAGGTGCCCCATCCCTGCACTCAGCTGAGCATTGGGATGGGACACGTGTCCCAGACCTGGGTTTGCCACATGTTACATGTTCGATTTAAGGTGCAATGCAAACCAGAAGATGCTCTACATTATGTATGGAACATCTTTGTAGCTGGTTTGAGATTTTATCGTGCCATAGATAAACTGACTGAACATACGGCATGTCACAATTTGTGGCATGACTAACAGGTTAATCACATCATAAATGTAACATCTGTCAGGCCCTCAAACTTCTCCTCTCTTGGCTCCCTGGCCCTTTCCACTTTCCAGTATTTTGCAGTTTGTCCTCCTTTCCCATTATTCTGACTTCTATCTCCACTCAGTTTCTTTCAAGTTCTCTGGCTCTTTCAAACTCAAGATCAAACTCCTTATCCTCATGTTAAACTCTGACCTACTGTTTTATCTCCCTCACTCCTCTTGCTGCTCACTCTTGGTTTGCCTGTTGTCATGTCCTCCAACTCTGATCTTTTCATTCTTTTCCCTGCTGCCCCTGCTACTTGAAAAGCCACCAGATATCGTCCGATACCAAGTATTGAGACTTTTCTCTTCCTATTCTCTCCTTCAAACCCATGTTTTGGTTTGCTGTATCAAAATGACATCCTTGCTCATGCTATCTACCCTTTGCTGCACTTCAGCTTCTACTTAGCACTTCCAGAATGTATGTGCTCATTTTTTTATTTGATTTAGCCTCCTTCTTTCCTCTATTTATCTTCCTATTCTTTTTCTAATGTAGAAAAATAAACTCTGAGAAAAGGGACCATATTAAATCTTTTCAAATCATCATACAAACTTACAGCAATACTCAAAACACTTTAAAATAAACAATATCATAAATCGAAGAGAACAAAGAACAAAAAATGCATGTACATTTATGTGACAGCCTCTTTATGTCCCTCATCTAGGTCATGTTCCAAAAAAGCACTTAAACACCTTCTTAACTTTAAGTACATGAGTACTTTCACTACCACTGATGGAATTATTTATATGCTTTAAGAAAAGAAACTTTTTATGTGTTTGCTGAGTCTGGCCACAGCATCCAGTGCACTGCAATTAGTAACTTTTAGTTGACTAGTATGTAATCCCTTTCTCTACTTTTTTGAAGAGCACAGACCACTAAAGACTCAGGATGTACTCTGGTACTAGCATCTGGCAAAAGGTTAGAAGAGGCAGTCAGAGAAAAAAAAGCACACTATATTGTATCCCTCCTACATTAGTTCATAAAACAAAAACTATTTGTAATAACTTTGGCTGCTTACAGCGGTGAGGGGGGAGGAATATACTTTAAGTTTGGCACCCCCTGTGCCAAGCCCAGTGGATGCTTAGATGTGGCTCTCCCACCATCTATATAGATCAGACATTTCAGCGGGGCTTTTTGATGCTTTTATCTAATAGCTAATTGAATCAGCTTTAGACAGAAGTGCCAAAAATCCCTGCTGAAGTGCCCAATCTATACAGATGCTGGGTTGAACTGACACACTGCCTCTTCCAGTAAAGTGCTCTTTTGTTTTTTCCCACGTTTGTGAGCACCCTTTTTGTTCATATAACTGTATACTAACAGAACCAACTGCCTTGCTGTTGTATCCTGTGGTGTTAAGTATTAGCTGCTCCATTTTAACAAGTTAAATAATATTTAAAAATGTTTAAAGTACTGAATCAATTTAGCACCTCATTCCATTTTATTACGCTGCTCCACCTTTTTTTTTTTTTTACAAGACCATAAAACAATATTTTTCTTCTAACATAAGCTCAGACAAGTTGCAAAAGTGCTTGTTTAAATCAACATGCAAATATCCTGAGTTTACACATATAAATGCAGACTCTGTGCATGAAATGTAGACATATCTCAATACTAAATACATCACATTCACCTGTAAGTGAAATTTGAAGTGGATCGAGTCCAATTTAAAATCATGCTCTTCTTTAGAATAAATGGTAGAAACATTGAAGAGCTAGCATTCTTTCTGCAATCATTTAAGTGTGTTCATTTAGAAAAGTGAAGAATTTGTAAACAAACAGAAGAACGATCTTACCGGCATGCAAGTAAGCCAGATCAGGATTTTCGATGTCTGGATGCAATTCTTTCAGGTGGTTACGAAATTCCACTGGGATATTGGTTCCATAATCACATTTGGGGCAGTTATACATCTTTACTCCTTCATGCTTTCCTGTGTGTAAGATATGCTTACGGATATTTTCAGCACAGTTAGACCTAAAAAGCGAGAAGTGTAGAAATAATTAAGTTAAGATGTATAATCACATGTACACACAGACTGTACACACAGAGTGGCCATCCAACAGCATTCAAGCACTGGCTGAAAATGAAATCCTGCCTTTATCATGCAGCATCAGTATGATTTCGACAGTTAACTTAGCTTTTCATGGTGTGCCTGATTTTAACATCCTCTTAACTTCTACAAGAAATACCGTCTGAACATTTTCAGAGATACATTTGTAGGGAGGTGTCAAGTTAAGGAGCACAACTGGACAATAAGAATTTAAAAGAATGAATAGTTTTTTTACCCTTGCAAAAGTCTTATACTTTTGTTTTACTTTTAAGTGAAAGGAGGAGAACATAATATCTCCCAAACACCTCAACTTAGCCAAATAGATTTTTCTTGCCCTTTTGAGCACCCGGCCTTTTATTGGCTCCAAGTGTAAGTAAGCATAGATGCTTGTATAAAACATTCCACGTGGAATTCATGTGAACCTTCTCCACAGAGTTTGTAAAACCCATAGGAGTCATTGCAATCGATTTTATAAGGATAACCCATTAACTCTTGCAGAGCTTATGAATTTTAGTGATCTATGAAAAAACATCAACTTGGCAAGGACAGTGCCTGCACTTCTGTATACCATGCTACACACAAACACAGACCCAGATTTATAAATCCTGGAAGTTTGCATGTATAAAGTTAGGGAAGCACATCTCATTCTAGATCCTTGAAAAAAATGGCCTGAAAAGTACTTAACCAAAAATGGTTTCAATAGCATCAGAAATGTTATATATAACCAATGAGACAGTAATTTTGAATTTAAAATTACATTTTTTTCCAAAAAAGGGTTTAATTTAGAATTCTCTAGCTAGTCAAGTTGTATGGATTAAAGTGTATATGTGCATAGTTACATAACTATAGCATCCTGAAAAGTAGTTTGTTTTTTTTTAAATACAAGTAATTGATAATATCCCCACTTTTACCAAAATAATTGCCTTAAATGACTACATTTGTTTTTGTTTGGAAATACTTTATATGTATTGTATGTTTTAAGTGTCAGCAATTAAAGGATTCTACCTTTATCTCAGTGTTAACCTTAATCTAACTTTAAGCAGCAGTGTAACCAAAATTGGAAAAAAATCAACGTATGAAAGTATAATATACAGATAAATACAATTAAAAAATTACTAAAATAAGAACAATGTAGTACATCGACTAAATGTGACCAAATCTGCCTGCCTCAAGAGGTGGACTTCTACATGTTTCAGTGATATTCAAATAGCACTGTGACAGGCACCTAAAAAAAAAATCACCCTAAAATAGATTGGAAATAGCAGCTTGATGATCACTTCCTATTCTGTTGGAGTGCTTGCTTCTCCCTTGGAGATGGTCATGGTAAAGCTAGTATCTGCCTTACGGTGCTGCCCAAGCTCATCCTCTGTCATGTCCATCTGCTATATAATAGTATAATGATCAGACCCTTGAGAACATCAGGGAAGGCACTTATGTTCACAGAAATTAGTGGGAATTGCAAGTCTTCAGCACCTCTCAGGATTAGGCCCTAAAAAAAATGATTGCAGGACTAAGTATTGTTAAAGTGAAACATACATTTTACAAGAATAATTTATAATAGGCACTTCAATGCAGGCCACAGTTCAGTAACCTTGTATCAGGGGTTGCATTTTAAAGGACAGCTGATTAAAGAAATTATTAATCCGAGTGCCAGAAAACTATCTGTATTCTTTTAGCTGTGCTACAGTATTACACTAAGGGAAAATGTAACACTTATCCTTTCAATACTATAAAAACTTTTCTGTGAAACATAATGTTCCATGGGATGTGGAGCAGTGATGACATGTAGGGGGTGCATGGGGCTGCACGTGCACCCTCTGAGAGCACTGGTGCACGCCCTGACTGCAATGTTCCTGGGCAGGTGAGAGAGCTGGTGCCCCCCCTGAAAGCACTGGCCAAGGAGTGCACCAGGAGAAGTGGTCTCCTTGCGGCCAATCCTGCTGACCAGAAGTGCCAGTAGCACACCTGGAAGTGCTAGTGGTGCGCCGCTGCCAGTTGAGGGTCGTCAGGATCAGCCGTGGGGAACCCCCTCTTCTCCCGGCCCATGGGATCACCCACGGGGGGGACTCTCCCCCAGTCAGCAGGATTGGCTGCGGGGGACCTCCCTTCCCCCAGCCTGTGGGATTGGCTGCAAGGGCCCCTCCCTTCCCCCTAGTCTCTGACTGTCCACTAGGGGGCAAGTGCCATTCCTGACTGAGGAGGCACCAGTGGCCCATGCTGCGGAGGAAACTTACTCTGTTTAAGCTGTGATAGGGAAGTGCTATCTTCGCTGATTTTTGGAGTTTTTCAAGCCAGCATTAATTATGCCACCGGAGAGTTTTATTTATTGAACCATCTTAAAAATGTTCTGAGACTGAGGGTACCAATGCCTGATTGATTCAGAAGGGCTAAGTACAGACAGCCAGAAAGCCCAAGGCTGAATTGATTCAACCTTCACTGGTCAGTCTAAGCTGCATAGATTGAACTAATAAGCAAGTGAACAGACATTCACTTTTGATTCTGGAAATGCAGCCACATGCCTGCAGTGGCTCAAGCCAGAAGCCAGGAGCTGCTACATCACACCACCCTGCTCAGCTGGAGCAGACAACTTGGGCCAAGGCTAGCCTGCCCACCCTGCGAGGGAGGAGAGTTGCAAAGCATCCTGGGATGCTGGGGGACTGAGAGTTAACTAGAATCTGGATGGGATCTGGGACAGACATTGCATAAATTGATTTGAGCCAAATCAGTTAAGTCTGATACTATGTCCATCCAGGCTCATTTTAAACCAGTTCTGGCCATTTTGAAAGCAGTTTATATGCACTGAACTTCAGGCCTACGGACATACATTATACATACACATACGTTACACATAAACTGGTTTAAGTGACCAGAAAGTGGTTTAACCTGTAACAGAAGAGACATTCAGTGCACATAAGCCAGTTTGAAAATGGCTGAAACCAGTTTGAGATAAACCTGGTTGAATGTAGTATCAGACTTAACTGATTTGGCTCAAATCAGTTTATGTAATGTCTGTCCCAGACCCCTTGCTGGTTTAAATTAAATCAGACTCCCCCAGCATCTTGGCATGCTCTCTGGGCTGGGTGGAGTGCTTTTCTCTGCCCCAGTGAGCTGGGCTGGCTCCTCCCCTCTGCTCTCTAACTAGAGCAGGGCGTGTGGCCAGACCAGACGGTAAGGCAAATTTCTCCTTCCCTCCATCCCCTTCCCCACCCCCCACCTCCACTGGCAAACCCTGGGGATCATAGCTGCTGTTTGCCAGCCCCAGCTGCACCTCTATGGCTTGCCTTCAGCTAGGGAGGGATGGAGTTAATTCCTCCCTCTATCCCCTCTCTCACCCTGAACCCCTGGGGGTTTGGCTGCAGTCTCTGTGGTTTGGGAGGGGATTCATTCCACAGCATTTGGGGGGGGGGAGGGGAAAGGCAAGCTAGTCCCCTGTGTGCAGATCCAAGCTCTGCACCTGTGAGCACAGAGCTAAGATCTGCAGGACCAGACTGAAAGGTGGGAAGTGTTGGCAAAGACCTGACAATCATCACACATGCTGGAGATGCAGTTAAGGAAAGTTGCAGACAGCTTCACCAAAGAAGACAGAGAGGTACATACCTAAACAAAGCCTTTCTGGATGCCTGGCTGTAAGGAGACACTCCACCCTCAGGATTAGTAAAACTAATTCTTGTCTTCCTGGTTTACATTTTAAATTAGATCTGTGTCTAAGCATGCTGTGTTTTACTAGGCTGTATCTTAGCTTAGGCAAAGATTTTTGGTAGTTCCCTATTGTATGCTTTGCAAACTGCTATGTTCAATACATGCTTGCTTCAGAGAAAGGACTTTTTCCCCTTCCCCACACCTCAGTCTGCCATGAGCAAACCCCCCCCGGCTGGTGGCTGGCATCCCTTGTGTTGTTAGTCCTGGCTGGTGCCTGGCCACCCCACCCCCCACTCCAGCAAGAAGGGGTGAGCGCCATAGGCAGCGTCTCTCTTCTGTCCCCTTTGGCAGTGGTTGCCAGGCATGCTCTAGTGCCTCCCAGCTCCTGGCTGGAGCCACTGCAGGTATGTGGCTGTATTTCCTGATTTCACAGAGAATGTCTGTTCAGTTATTAATCAGTTTAAGCTACATAGTTTAGACTAACCTGCAAAAAGTGAATCAATTCAGGCTTGGGCTTTTTGAATGTCTGTCCCTAGTCCTGTTGTATTAGAGATCTAAAACAGTATTTGGTTGCTTCTACTGGTTTGTGTGTGACTTCTGTCACTAGTCCAAGGGACATAAGAAATGTAACAATGTTTGTCTAAGTGATAAACCTAGAAAGGGCTAATCACAAATTAGGAATACAAGATTATAAAGCATTACAAGTGGCCTCCCTTACTAGGTTGCAATGGAGGGATTGCTATAACAAAATAACCAATGAAGGTGACAACTGGCACATGCAAGCACTTTTGAAGCCAAGTAATACCCTTAAATATGATATGACAAAAATGTACTGCACTTATTTTTTTTTAAATTAGTCAATGTGCCTTGAATGCCTGTTTCATTATCACTCTTGTCCTTAATGGTTGGCAAATATATCTGACATAAACACCAAAAATTGTATTTTTATATAAATATATACAATTTAAATCATTGCAACTCAAATGACTCCACAAAGATTTCTGTGATTTTAAGAAGCATTGCATTTTTATTAAAATTGTGGCATTATACACATCTAACTAAAATATTATAGGGTTGCAATTGTGATGATAGTTAAACATGTGACAAGATTTGTGTTATAAATTCCATTTTCAGGAGTTTATGAACTTTAAGATAAAGATTCCCTTTATAATGAAATTTAGCAATGAAGAACTCTCCTGCCTTGAAAATTTGAATAAAATGAGTCTCTGGTTTTTGAGTCCAGTTCTTGAATTACGGCAGCCAAATAAATAAATACAGCTTTTAA